AGTATTTCCAAGGACTCAGGCAGAGAGAAGTCTTTCCCACTCAACTTTCCCACTTCCACTCAACACATCAAATGGTTTTGTTTTTAAAACAGAGAGACCTAGAAAATGATTTTTTTTCTCTTTTCTGCTCACAATATGGGCCCACTATCATTTTGGGCCAGTGTCTTGAAAAACGTAGTTTAAAACTTTTACAGGTGTTAGGTGGGATTTTTGAAATCCAAATTTGGTCATTTTTGGTACTGATTTTCTCCAGGAGGCTCCTCCAAAATGCCCAGAAAGTGAAAACCACATCATTTAAGTTTGGAGGTTTGGGGCTTTCCTTTTTGGTGACTCTTCCAAAGCTTTTTGAATGCTTTTCTTAGAGACGTTAGAACTCTTCCCTCATTTATTCCCTTCGGTCACCAAGCAGAGATGGTTTATTCCTACAGGCTTTTACAGAAATTGCTTTTAATACAGCATAACAACAACAACAACAACAACAACAACAACAATTTATTTGTATTTCACCCTATCTCCCTGATAATAATAATTAATAACAATAACTTTATTTTTATACCCCGCCACCATCTCCCGAAAGGGACTTGGGGCGGCTTACATGGGGATCAAGCCCAAATTTGCATTCTTAAGACACAAGTAAAAACATAATAACATACAATATGACATTAAAAATCTAACTAAAACAATTAAAACCAGTGGAGAATAAAAACATCATAAAAATGTATCAAATCAACATTCACACCTAGCTCCAGCAGACAAGAGTTCTTTGTCCCACCCTGGTTATTCCTCAGATATATAAACCCAATTTTCCTAGTTCCAACAGACCTCACTCCCTCTGAGGATGCTTGCCATAGATGCAGGCGAAACGTCAGAAGAGAATGCCTCTAGACCATGGCCATATAGCCCAAAAAACCTACAACAACCCAGTGATTCTGGCTACGAAAGCTTTCGACAATATAATTACAAGACATGTTTTACAGCACCAAGATATCGCTAACCATACGACGCGGGAAAGAGACCAAACCACAGATCAGAAAGTCCCTCGTTCAAATCTCCCTTTCTCCAATCAATTGCTCAAGGCTTGTTTGGTAGCAGTTGTTGCCTCTTGTGACGCTGATCATCCATGCCGTGCCAACCCACTCACAGAGAAAAAGATCTCTTTGGGCGCAGCCTGTTCACCTTCCCACACCGAGGCTCAAAGGCTTAGTCACGGCTAAACAAACTGAAATCACAATGGTTTCCTCTCTTAGTGCCTGGCATCGGAACGTGCGGCCGCTGGGTGATTTCAAAAGCGATTATTTTGTGTGGCTGTTGCAGCGCAGTGTTTGGGAGCAGGTTGAACAAATGTCGCCCGGAGGATAGAAGCCGCCCGGCCTGAACACCTCTCCCTTTTCTCTCCTTAGGCAGCCAGTCGTCCCGGAGGTGAGGACAGGTCCTATCCTCAGGGATCACCTGCCAAAGAGCTGAAGGTGAGACCTGGCCAACTCCCTGCAACAGGAACCTCCCCATTTGCAGGCCAAATGGGCTGATTATCCACGCTGTGACCGGTGGACACCTTACACACCAAGATCTATCTGATGGGATGAGCCTTTTCTTGGGTGCTTCCTGCCTGGAGCATATTTGTCTTCCCAGTATGTACAGCTAAGGGTCCTTTTCGTTTGTTCATTTTCTTCACCAGAAATCACAAATTAGCAACACTCCCTATGGTGTGGACATCATATTAGGACATAGTTATGGGACATTAGCTAGTGTCTATTTGCCTCTTTGGTGGACGGCATCAGCTGCACTCACATTCCTTGGTGCACTAGCTCTCTCCTTACTCTTCCACTCCTGTTTTTGTCTTTGGTGCACTTCACAAGGTGTTGGCCTCCAATATCTACCATATTTTCCAGCATACGAGGTGATTGAGGGTATAAGATGACCCCCCTCCCAACTTTTAAAGATAAAATAATAATTTTGGTCGTGTCAGGAGCGACTTGAGAAACTGCAAGTCGCTTCTGGTGTGAGAGAATTGGCCATCTGCAAGGATGTTCCCCAGGGGACGCCCAGATGATTTGATGTTTTTATCATCCCTGTGGGAGGCTTCTCTCATGTCCCCGCATGAGGAGCTGGAGCTGATAGAGGGAGCTCATCCGCCTCTCCCTGGATTCGAACCTGCGACCTGTTGGTCGTCAGTCCTGCCGGCACAGGGGTTTAACCCACTGCGCCACCAGGGGCTCCATATAATAATAATAATAATAATAATAATAATAATAATAATAATAATAATCTTTATTTATACCCCGCTACCATCTCCCAAGGGACTCGTTGCGGCTTACATGAGGCCGAGCCCACAATACATCATACAAGCAATACCAATTACAAAACGAAACAAAATACAAATACTAATGCAAAGCAATTAAAATAAATCTCATACACAAAATAGCAAACATTGAACAGTGGCCAAAACACATTTAAAAACTATGGCTGGGCCAAATGTAATTAAGTTAAAAATAATGCTGGGCATGAACAAGATAAAAGAGATGGGGCGTTGGGAAAATGTACGAGCAGTCCTCAATCAGTATAAAGTGCTTTTGGAGGACATAATGCCAAGGGTTCATTATTCTGGGAAGGCACACTGGAATAGCCACGTCTTCAAGCTCCTCCTAAAGACTGCCAGAGTTGGGGCATGCCTGATGTCCTTAGGGAGTGAGTTCCAGAATCGAGGGGCCACCACCGAGAAGGCCCTCTCTCTTGTCCCCACCAATACAGGTGGGAGCGCGACTGGGCCTCTCCAGATGATCGGAGAGATCGTGTGGGGGGTCGTACACAGAAATGCGGTCACGCAGGTAGACAGGTCCAAAACCGTTCAGGGCTTTGTAGGTAAGAACCTGCACCTTGAATTGGGTCCGGAAAATAAATGGCAGCCAGTGGAGCTCCTAAACAGGAGGGTTGACCGCTCCCTGTAAGGAGCACCAATTAACAACCTGGCCGCCACCCGTTGAACCAACTGGAATTTCCGAGCCGTTTTCAAGGGCAGCCCCACGTAGAGAGCATTACAGTAGTCCAATCTGGAGGTGACCAAGGCATGGACCACCCTCCATGCCTCTAATATAGAGTTAGGGATATACTCGGTGTTTAAAACTACCCCTCTTCCAACACTATGCCCCTGCGTTCAAGGACCTCCTCCGCCCTCGCCACTCACCTCCTCCGACGGCCACTGGGCTTGCCTAGGCTCAAGGAAACGCCTCCGGAAGACAACTCCCAGCAGCCCCAGGTGGCAGCGTGCCTTGGATGTATTCCCAGAGGCATTCTAGGAGTCGTAGGAGTCAGGGAACTACTGCTCCCAGAATGCCTCAGGGAGCACATCCAAGGCACGCCGCCGACCAGGATGACGCCGACCAGGAGTCATCATTCAGAGGCACTTCCTTGCAGGGCCGTAGCCAGAAATAATTTTCAGGGAGGGTTGAAAATTTGGGGGGGGGGGTGTTTAAAATTTGGGGGGTTGAAAATTTCAGGGGGGGGGTGAAACCTGCCTATTAGCTCACGCTGAAGCAAAGAGCACAGCAGGGGCAGAGCAGCCTTCAATAGCCTGCAGCTCTGCCCCTGTCAACCACCTCCACCAAGTCTGGCCTCCTTAATGAGAGCATTCAACACGCCCCCCAACTTGGTTGCTTCGCTGCATCGGCTATTGCTGCAAGTAATGACAGTGTGAATAAGATGCTAGCAGGGTACAAATAAAGATGATGATGATGATGATGATAATAATAATAATAATAATAATAATAGCTTGAGATAGTGCTTGCAGTTCTGGAGGGACTCTTAATTTTTTGCATCTCATAGACTTAGCTTGGGGATTTGGTTAACCAGTTAAAATTCATGAGTAAACCAGGTTTATTTATTTAACCTGAAAAATTTGGGGGGGGGGGGTTGAACCTCTAACCCCCCCTCCCTCGCTACAGGCCTGCTTCCTTGGGTCTAGGCAAGCCCAGTGGCCTTCGGTGGAGGTGAGCGGCGAGGGTGGTGGAGGTCTTTGAAAGGAGAGCAGGGAGGGTGTCGAGGGCCACTTCACCTCCAGCGGCCCATCACCTCCAGCCTCCTCCCCATGCTCTCCCTCCCTCCATCCTCTTCCTCCTCCCTCCTTCCTCAGGCCACGCCACTAAGGGAGTTTTAAAAAACTTATTATTTTAATTTATACCCAGCGTACTAGACGATCCCCGACTTTTCATAAGATTTTCCAGGCTTAAAACGCCGTCTAGTACGCCGGAAAATACGGTAGCTTCAGTCTTCATGTTGGGGTCTGCAGGTTGGCAGCTTGGACCAGTTACAGATGCCTGGGACAGGTGACAAGTCAGTAACAGCAGAGAGGAAACAACCAGGCACATCTTAACACCTCTCAACAGAACATTTTCCCAGGCTCAGCCAGGCCTTCAAATGCTAATGAAGGTGGTCAGCTGAAACATTCACACCTAGCTTCAGCAGAGAAGAGCTTTTTGCCCCACCCTGGTCATTCCACAGATATATAAACCCATTTTCCTATTTCCAACAGACCTCACTACCTCCGAGGATGCTTGCCATAGATGCAGGGGAAACGTCAGGAGAAATGCCTCTAGAACATGGCCATATAGCCCAAAAAAACCTACAAGAACCTAGACAAGTCAGTAGTTGGACTAAGCAGCTGGATAGTTAGTTTGACTTTCCCATACCTGTTTCAAGCATTTTTTAAAATATATATATATTTTTATTAATAAAGTTTCCAAAGTTTGAGAAAGAAATATAAAGTAGGAGGACATTTTTGCTATAGATAAGAGAATAGTAGGAAAAATAAGAAGTTGTTGCAAGAAGGAGAAAAAAAGAAAATAAATAAATAAATAAATAAAATGTTGACTTCCATCTAGTCTTTGTTGGTGTTTAATGTCTTTTTCTATATTGCAAGTATATTTTACCTCCCCGGTATTTCTTCTTCAGTTATGATTTACTCTTTTTATATAATAATCTCTATTGTCCATTATCTAAAGTAGTCTATGACCGGGTCCCAACTGGTACATTTCTTTGGTGTTCCTTGGTTTGATGTTAACCAATATGTAAGTCCATCCATGCTCATTATCTCCAAAATCTTGTTTTGCTAGTCTTCCCTTTGGGGTATTTATTTCATTCGCCACTTATTTATTTATTTATTTATTTATTTACGACATTTATATGCCGCCCTTCTCACCCCGGAAGGGGACTCAGAGCGGCTTACAAGATATATACACACACAATATGTTAAATTATTAGCATACTGGTACAGCTGTACCAGAAGCTCCCACTTTATTTGCCTTGTATTAAGTGTTTGTTTGCAGCCCAAGGCTTGGGATTCTGCAGAAGGGTGGCTTCCTGTTAAAGTTTGCAGTTATAGGGCAGGCCCCCTGTCCATCATCGTTAAGTTTGGTTCCGCCCCCTGTTCAGGACAATTGAGAAGGGAAGGGAGCCATTTTCAGTCAGTCTCAGCAAGGAAAGTCAATGTACAGGACGTATACAGACTTCTCCTGTACAAAGGCTTCAACCCTTAAGACCTCCCAGGGGAGAACAGTCTTAAGAGCAAAAGGATTCCCAAAGATTCCCAGGGAAACAGCCCTAAAGCTCTGAGGAATTTCGGAGGGAAAAACAGCTTTGAACATCTAAGAACTCCAGCTGAAGTGACTACAGGCCTACTGGTAGGTCCACTCGGTGCTTTGAGACACAGATCAACCCGGTAGTGGAGCCCACATCAGTTAGGTTTAGGATCACAGTTAGCCTGGGAGAAGTTTGGAAAGGGTAACTGTTACTTTAGAGTAAAGTAACAGTTAGAAGCCACCAGTTGCACAGAGCCTGGAAGCATTTGTTTAACCCTTTGAAGACAAAAGAAGTTTCTGTTGATTGTTCACCAATAAAAGACTTTGTTATATTTTACAAGCCCTCTAGAGACTGTTTATGGTGAAAATCCATACGAATTTCTCTTCGGGCCCCCTGGCTTCCCGCTGGGCTAAAGTTACACGTCCTGTATTAAAGGCAATTTATTTCAAGCCCAGCGCACGACAGAACAATTAGCATAGTACAATATCAGTATTATATATTACTATATTGTAGTACACCATTATATTGCAATATTATTAGTAATATTACAGGTAATATAAAATATAGAATTATAATATTTTATTATTATTACTATTATATTGTATTACATAATATTATAAATATTATATGTATATTATATTATATTATATTATATTATATTATATTATATTATTAGTAAGCATAGGAAGATGGAACTGGCGTCTGCCCCCCTCTCTTTCAAATGGTTGAACAGAAGCTCTCTGAAGTTTTAGGTGTTCTTACTGCCTATTATGCGGCCAAAATACTTCATCTTTACTTCAGAGAGTTTCATCTACGCTGACGATTGTGTTATCACCGCTCAAGCAGGGAGTTTTGAAATGGTTGAACAGAAGCTCTCCGAAGCTTTAGGTGCTCTTACTGTCTATTATGCAGCCAAAGTACTTCATCTTTACTTCAGAGAGTTTCATCTACACTTCTTTGCAAATGCAATTCTAGCTGCCGTAGTTAGGTAAGTAAATAATATTTCCTTGCCCCCCCCCCCCTCCCTTCAAAGTCATACATTCCCAACGGAAAGTATTCTGGCTCTTTTTTTTATTTGTGTTTTTAGAATCATTTGAATGTCGTTTTGAATGATATTCCAA